CGCCTGGGTCGATCTGGGAATCCCTTCGCCTCGCGTCGGGCTGACGGACACGACTCCAGAGGCGCGGAAGCCATCCCAGCAGCCCAATGGGCCGAAAACCGCCTTGGAGCTTGGGAAGCATGACCCGCAGCGAGTCGGTGGCGGCGTCGGGCCATCCTCCCAGCTCCTCGCGCTTCATGCCGAAGTCGATGACGGCCTCGAGGAGCTGGTCGCTGAGGTCGGCGGCCTTCCTGGGGTTGGGTCGGTCACTGCCGACTCCCGTGCTGTGCCTGAAGGTCTCGGCGGCCCTGCGGACGCAGTCGGCCGTGGGTCGGGGGAGCGCCTCGTCTTCGCTCGGAGGGCGGCGAGGACGGAAGCGGTCGCTGCCCTGACGGGCCCTCCAGACCTCTGAGGACCACTGCGCCGCCGCGACCTTGACGCGGTCGGGGCCATGAGCAGGGGCGCCATGGAACTCATCATCAGGTGCCCAACCTCGACGGCCTCGCCGATAGGCGCGCAGACCCCCAGCACCCGCGATCAGGGAGTTGTGAACCCACTCCTTGAAGCCCTCGCTGCGGACGGCGGCGAAGGCCGCTCCCTCGGCTTCAGCCTCTTCCTCGGCCTGTGCCGCCCACTCCTCCAGAGGCAGGGGCTCGGGGCAGTCCCCGACCAGTGCGACGCGCGCCGCCCACTGCGCGCCCAAGGGCAGGCCCACGGTGGATGGGGGCCTCGGCGCTGCAGCACCTGGGCGGCCTCTGCTGCCGCTTGCGCCCCCGCTGCCGCTGCTGCCGTCGTCGTTGCTGTCGCTGGAGTCAGTCGGCAGGCCGCCGTGCTCCCGCATGAAGAGCTTGACGGCCTGAGTGTAGCCGTAGTGCTCGTCCTCGGCGACGGCCCACGCGTCGGGGTTGCTGGGCCCCAGGTCGCCCATGCTGCGGTGGTACTTACTCATCGCGAACAGGTGCTGATCCTGCCCGGCTCTCCTCGCGCAGCTCCACGGCGCGTGCCAGGCGGGCGGCTGCGCGCTCGGCAAAGGGCCTCGCCGTGCTGGGCCCACTCGAGCTGCCGCCGCCCTCGCCGCCGTCCAGGTGCCCAACTGCTTGCGAGGGCTTGATTGGGATCGCGCTGATACCCTCCGCGGGTGCGGCTCCTGCTCCAGCCCCCGATGAAGCTGCAGATGATGTGGCCGCGCATGGCGCTGTGTCGTTGCTTGTAAGTGCTGAGCCTCCTACGCCAGCCGCTGCGAGCGCTGCGAAGGAGCTGACGGGGGCCTGGATTGGGATCGCGCTGACCCCCTCCGCAGATGCGGCCCCCAGCCCAGTGCCCGAATCTGGGCTCTCGGCCTCCTCGCATTGCTCATGCTGCGCCGCCCCGTCGCTCTCGTGCTAGCTGAGGCGCGCGAACGCGTAGTGCGTGCGCAAGTCCATCCACTCTTCGCGGTCCTGGACAGGGTCGAGATCGTGGATGTGGGGGGGCCAGCCTCGGCCCAGGCGCTTGAGTATCCGCCGCGCTCCATGCGCACCGACCTCGATAGCGCTCCAACCATCGCCCGGTGCGGTGCGGGCCAGCGTAGTGCACGGCGCAGGCGCCCGCGGCTCGGGGAGCTGGCTGCCGAGCCCGTTGCCCTGGCCCAGGTGGGGCTCCCAGTCGCCGCGGGCCCCGTGGGCGGAAGGCGCGGCGCTCGCGGCGCCAGGTAAGGGCGTTTTGTAGCCGCCGCGCTCCTCCAGCCAGCGCTGCGATGGGTGGTGCCGAGCTGCCGAAGGAGACGGACAAGCTCAGTCCTTCCTGGGGTCCCGCGACGCCGTGCCGATGAGCAGACGTCGCGCGCTGTGCGCATGCGGTCCTCGAAGTCCTGGGCCAGGCCCGTGGCGACGTGCGTCGGCAACCCCAACGTGCGGAAGATGTAGGGCACGCGCATCTCCATCCACTCGGCCTCGTCCTCGATGTAGTTGGGGCTGCTGGGGTTAAAGACCCAGCTGCGCGCCCGACGGCCAAGGGCGCGCCTGTGGCGCTCGAGCGCCCTGGTCTGCAGACGCTCAGCCTCCGGACGGGCAGGGCCCAGCTTGAGCTGAGCTTCCGCATCTTGGCCGCGGCCGTCGTGGACGGGCCCTCCTGCGAGAAGCCGCACCTGGGCGAAGTAGTCGCTCAGGTGCATGAGCTGCTTACCCTTGTAGCCGGCCTTGGGGCCCTTGATTGACCTCCCACGCGCCTGCGAGCCGTGGCTGAAGCTGGGCGGGCCCCCGCGTCCTCGGTAGGGATCGGCCTCGTCGGGGTCGAGCTGGTGAACCCAGACGAGCTCATCCTCGACTCCTGCACAGTCCCTGGTAGGCGTCGGCCATGGCCTGTAGGTCCCCGCCCTGGTCGATCTGCGCCCGCACCGAGTTGTGGTCCCAGTGCTTCTCCTGCAGCGGCCCGAGGGGCCGCGGCTTGGGAATGCCATCGGGCCCTTGGCCCTGTGCGACTGGCCGAGGTCCCCGTGGCAGGTGGGGCTGAGCTTTACCGCCATGTGTGGCCTGCACGGGTTAGCACACCCCAGGGCCGTCATGTCGAGGCGCTTGCGGGCCGCGACCCTATCCAGCGCGTCCGCGCTGATGATGAGCCAGTCGAGCTCGGGCGGCGCCTTGGACAGGGGGCGCCGGCAAGTGCCCGCGCCCGTGTCGACAACGTGGACGCCCACCTTGCGCAGCCAGTTGCAAGCCCGCTCGTGAAACCTGTTGGGCTCGAAGTTCCAATCACCAGCAAGAACCCAGGGCTTGCCCGCGCGTTTGAGGAGGACCCCGGCGTCCTGTAGCGCGGCCTTGATTTTCTCGCCGGCGTCGTCGTTGTCCAAGTAGACCGAGCCGATCAGGAAGCCGCCTGGCACCACGCCGTTAACGTGTGCCACGGTCGCCCTGCCGTCGGAGACGTGGCAGCTCTGCTTGTTGCCGTGCTCGCCAGGACCGCGCGCCCCCCGAGTCGGGCGGACTGCGACGCCTGTGCCGCCGCTGACCGCGCGATGCTGAAAAGCCCCCTCGGCGGCGACGCCAGGGGTCAACGCTGCGCTCCAGCCAGCCTGCCGCTGCTCCTGCTCCACGGCGCGGCATCCGTTGAGGCGGTGCTCCTGGAGACAGAACGCGTCCCCGATGTGCGCCGGCGCCGCGGCGTCCTGCTGAGGTTCCTGCTGCGCGCCGAGGAGGGTGGTGAAGGGGGCCCGACCGCTTCCGTTGAGGCCCGCCGCCGTGAAGGTCGGGTCGCTACCCGCGCTTCCCCCTCCGCTTGAGCCCCGCGGCGCGGAGCCCCTGGAGGAGCTTCTGGGCTCGAAGCTCGCGCTTGGCGGCTGCCTGGGCCGCGGGGTCCTCGGGCCGAGCTCTGGCGCCCTCTTCGCCGCTGCCTGCGCCTGCTGCCGCCGCGCCGGCCTCCTCGACGGCCTCCTCCTGCATGCTGTTCAGGATGTTGCTGACATCTTCCTCCTTGAGCTCCTGCTCGTCGCCGCCGTCGCGTGCCGCTGCCGCCCCTGCAGAGGCAGCTCGATGAGCCAGGCGCCGAAGCTCTGAGACTTGCTGCTCCCTTTGCTGTGCGTGCCCCCTGTTGAGCATGCCTGGGGCTTGGTCGGGCGCCGACAGGAAGGCGGCGGCGCGCTCGCCCTCGCTGAGTGCTGCTGCTGGGGGTGGGGGCGCGGCATGCCCGAAGCCTGCGCCGAGCCCCCCTTCGCGCGGGGGTTGTCGATGAGGGCCTGCAGCTCCTTCTCCGTGGCCTTGCTCTGCTCGTGTTTGCCCTCCAGCTCGCGCTTCTCTGCCTGGGTGCTCTCGATCTCCTGCGTGGCGGTCGCGATCTTCCGCTCCAGCGCCTCGGTGGTGCTCTGCTGGTTCTTCTGCTTGCGTTCCAGCTCGCTGAGCTGGACAGGCGTGGGCTTTTCCTCGGAGAGCTCGTGTTCCAATTGCTGAGCCGCCGGTCGCTTGGCAGCCAGGATCTCGATGCTCCCTCAACACCTTCGAGCTTTGTTGATATCGCTACGTAGCTTTCCAAATTGCCGTAATCGTTCGTCCTTCGGGGCCTGTGACTGCGACTTCCTGCTGGTAGTGAGCCTGCATCGCCGCCTGGGGCGGACTGAATACCACCTTCAAGCTTTTTGACCTTTGAGCGCAACTGGTTGGGCTCGTGTCGTTCTTGGGCGTCCAGTTGTGACATGCCACTCCACCACGAGCTTGCACCATATCCTTGTTCCCACCAATCATATCCGCAGCTGCGGCAAATGTGCCTGGAGCCCCAGTTCTTCTTGGCTCCGCACTTTGGGCAATCCCAGGCCTTGGGTCCTCCGCCACTTGTGTCGCCCACGCCTGGCTGATCGCCTCCTCGCCGTCCGCCTCCTCTGCCGCCGCCGCCACGCGCGGTACCTTGAGCACCACCAACGTCCTGCCATTGGTCGAACCCGCCGCAGCTGGGCTCCCAATCGGGCGACTGGGGCCGGGTGTCGGAAAGGATATGCACATGAAAGAACTGTGGCCGCGAAGGCCTCGCTGAAAGCTTGGTCGATTTGGAATCTGACCGAAGAAGTGACGCGACGGCTAGAGCCAGCCACATGGGACCAGACATCTGCCCAGATCGTATCAACTTGAACCAAAATTGCTACGGATGCTGATGATGATGATGGTGATGATGGTGGTGATGGCGATGACGATGGCGATGGTGCTGATGCTGATGATGAGTCTGATGACGATGATGATGCTGCTGGTGATGATGATGATGATGATGATGATGATGATGATGATGATGATGATGATGATGGTGCTGCTGCTGATGATGATGATGCTGATGCTGCTGATGATGATTGTGGCGATGGTGATGGTGATGATGAGGAGGAGGCAGGAAGGAGAGCACGCTAGTGTGAGGAGGAACGGAGGGCAGGGCAGAACGGGAGCAGGAGGAGGGAGGGTCAAGAGGGGAAGGAGAAGGAGGAGGAGTTTTGTAGTAGTCGGAGGAGGAGGAGGAGGAGGAGGAGGCCGAGGAGGCCCAAGAGGAGGAGGAAAAAGGTGAGGGAGGAGGACAGAGAGAAAGAGAGAGAGGAGTCGTTCAGGCAAGTGCGCGCGGAGGTCGCTGTGCACAGTGCCCTCTGGCCGCTGCGACGCATCGTTGGCGCGGCGCGCGGCCCTGGAACAATTTTCGGTGCCCTTGGGGCATCCGAGCCGGGCAGGGGCGGTGCGGTCTTTGCTGCGGCCGCCGACGGGCTCGCGCCCGAGGCCTCCTCGGGCCGCGAGGGTCGGGGAGACCGTCAGGAAAATGACGACACCCAATCTGGAATTTGACGCGATCTCCCGCTGCAGACATCCCACGAAACCTGGACCGTCAGAACTCAGGACGGGCCCGTCAAAAAACGTCGTCAAACCCGAGTTCCCGAGAGAACTCGAGTCTTACGCTTCCCTGAAAGAGGAACGCGTGACCGAGACCTCTGCCGTTCTGATGTGTCCACGGGAAGGCGCAGCCTGCAGACACAGACTTGCTCACGCTGTGAAACAAAATCGCGACGGGCGGTTTTCGGCAATTTTCGGTCTCTGGAGGCCCTCGCCGGGCCTCGGGACCGTCAAAGACGACTGGACATGACATGAAAAACATGCGCTGCGCCCAGGGTCGGAACTCCTGGGGGCCACGTATGGAACAAATCAAGACATCGCATGCCTGGGGATACGTGCGCTGACCCCTGCCGCGCCGATGCTGGGCCCAAGTCGGCGCATGTGCCCTCCTGGCCCGACCATGAGGGGGGCGCATGTACCGATCCTGTGCCCAGAGCCTGGCCAAGGCGGGTGTCTACTGTGGATGTCGCCCATCGCCCTGTTCTGTCCCCGCGAGTGCTTTCTTGTTCGACCTGTCCAGCCTCTCGTGCCCGGTCTCCCGTGGTCACGGCATTTCGAGCTTCCTGGCCTCCCGTGGCCACGGCGTTTCGAGCACCCCGGCCTCCCGTGGCCGCGGCGCTTCGAACACCCCGGCCTCCCGTGGCCGCGGCGCTTCGAACACCACGACCGTCCGCAGTCACAGCGCTTCGAGCTCCCCCGAGTGTCGTCCTGGCCCCCTGGAACACAGCAAAACGCGACTCTGGACGAAAGACCAGCCCATGGGACTCGGGATACAATCGGCACATCTCTCAAGACATCCTGCTGCAAAAAATATGATACCGGAGAAAAGCCCCAATCAGATTGTTTTAATATTCCAATTGCTCCTTTTGTAAATAGGGCGGGCTATAGGGCTATAGGGCTATAGGGCTATCGGGCTATAGGGCTATAGGGCTATCGGGCTATGGGGCTATCGGACTGTGACCTATAGGGCCATAGGGCTATAGGGCTATGGGGCTATAGAGCTATATGGGCTTTGGGGCTATAAGGCTATAGGGATATAAGGCTATTGGGCTATGAGGATATAAGGCTGTAGGGCTACAGGGCCATAGGGCTATACGGCTAGGGCTATTAGGCACCCCCAGGCCCCCGGGCCCCCCCGGGCCCCCGGGCCCCTGGGCCCGGCCACCGAAATCGGCCACGCACCTCACCGGCCACCCGGGCACCCGGGCACCGCCTGGCACCCGGGCACCCGGGCCCGGCCACCGACATCGGCGACGCACCTCACCTAACCCTTTAATCTGCTAGGACCCCTACAGAGGCAAGCTCTGATTGGGGAATAAAGGCACTTTCTTTGCCGATCTTTGAGGGTCCGAAGGTGCCCCAGAGCTTCGGGGCCATCGAGAGCTGAGAAACTTCCGTGGGGCACCTGCTGGCAGGCCATGGTAGCGCGTGCACGCAGGGCTCGCGCCATATGAATTGTTGAAGAAAATTACGCGCTCAGAGACAATCGAAATAATGCACCTGCGGACTGCGAGCGCAAAGAGGCCGATCAGCCGACCACGCAAGCTGCAATGCCCTCGGCGCTGTAGCTCGAGGGGTCGTGGACGCCGGCGCCCTCGAAGAGGTCCTTCACCTGGCTCGAGAGCCTCTGGCTCACGTCGCCGGCCATGCCCGACAGCGCGCCAGACTGGGAGCCGAAGAGGAGGACCTCGGGGTCGTTGGCCGCCGCCTGGACCATCCCGGCGTTCAGCTCGAACGTCCCCCGCCACATGGAGATCGCTGGGTTGTGCAACGATTGCCTGTGGATGCACTTCTCGTCCGTCTTGGTGGCGGCGTAGAGGTAATACAGGGTGAACTCGGTGGCGCCGTCGGTCTTGATGTGCCCGCAGAGCGCGCCGCTGCACAGGGACAGCGGGCTCGGGTCCTCGTGTAGTTTCATTCCTGACCATCCTGCGGTATTGGGTCCTCGTTTTGAAGAGACAACTCCCCCGCGTCTTTTCCGCCTCACCTCCTCCCTCCTCCATCCTCCTTTCCCCAGCCGCCGTCCCGGCTCAGGGGCCTCGGGTGCAGCTACCCAGTAGCTGCGCGCCCCTCGGGACGGGCGGTCATACGCGCCAGCCAGGGCCTCCTCGGCGCTCCCTGGCAGGCCGTGCAGCAGCTGACGTGTGGCCAGCGCCACGGGTCGTCAGCCCACGACCAGCGAGCCCGCCTGGCACAGGCGAGCCCGCGAACGCCGCAGTCAAGCTCGGGTACTGCTCAGAGTGGCTTCAGCACAAGCCACGCTCGCATCGCACCACAGCAGTCCTGAGTACGTGCATATGTCCAACAAGGCAGTATGGCAGCGCACCACATCTTCGTGGTTCTGTTCGCGCTGTGGGGTTTCACATGCTGCTTCCACGGCTTGGTGCACGACATGTTTTCCAGATCGCAAGGGATTGAGTCGTCGGCCTTGGCGTCGAGACAGATCCCTATCACGTGCTGCGTCTCGAGGCGCTCAAGAGCGAGAGCCTTCCGAGGCAGCATCGCAGGCAGCCAGCATACGCAGTTCTACCACTACAAGGAGAGTGGCGACGCTCGAAGAGGCCAAGGCTCATCGTCTCTGGACCGAGCCACCGCCACTCGCAGCAGACAGAGAGGCCCACAGAGCTCACCTGAAGAGTGCCATGAGAGCTGTGGAGCAGCAGATTCAAGCACAAGAGAAGCTTTCCACAGATGCCCCCCTCTTGGAGTCCAAGAGGATCGAGTACTCGGTCTACCAGTTCATGCATCTGTATTCGTACCCGCCGAAGGAGAGAGTCTGCAATCAGCAGGCGTACTTAGAGCGCATCGGCAAGCGCTTCGAGGCAGCGCAAGATGCAGAACGTCAAGCAGAGCTGGCCCTTTCGGCAGCCCAGAAGCATCGAGAAGCCATGTCAATCGAACTCAATCAGGCGTCCGCACTGTTGGAGAGCTTCAAGACGTTGGCCGAGCAGGAGAACCCTCACAAGTCCGTCTCGTTCGAGGAAACGCCCACGCCTGTCTCGGCAACGGCCACTACACCTCAGCCGCCATCGCCTTTCGCGCCCACAGCTCAGGTGCCACCACAGGTCATTGCAGATCTTCAAGCCAATCAGAACGCCATGACATCAGCATTGACAGCGCTGCAGGGATCCATCGTGACGATTCAGGCCACACTGAGTCAACTCACTATTCAATCGCAGCCAGCCGTCCAAGCAGCGCCGCCTGCATCATCTCCTACTACAGGGAATGCAGCGCCGACCGGTGGAGTTGCCAGCAGCCCAGTGGCAGCAGGCTCCGCAGCAGCTCAGCGTCCCACATCGCACATCGGCAAGGGCGGCGTCATCAAGACGCAGGGCAAGGTGAACGCGGCGAGGACACGCTTGGAGCAGGCCGCCAAAGCCCCTGGGCAGACGCGGCTATCACTGGGCCGTTCTTCGAAGGACGACGACAGCCTCGAACCGCCGCACAAGAGCATCTGCCTGCCGCACGAGGATGGCGAGGAGGAGGCGCACTCGGACGCCATGATCGAGGACGAGGACGTGGAGCAGGATGGAGCTGCAGGGGATCGTGCAGCAGTTTTTCACTAACCCGAGCAGCCAGAGCAGAGAGCTGGCTGCCACCAGGTCGGGTGGATATGAACGACAGTCAGCCTATTCATCAGGAGCAAGGCCCTCTTGAAGGGCCTTCTGGTTGTTCGGGTTTACCTCAATCATCACAGCCCAGTACCGTTGAAGTACGTGGGTGCAAGACAAGTCCACTTATGGACAAGTCCATCGTCTTTCGGGAACTTTTCAGATCTTGGGACAGGCCTATCAATCCCAACTACTGGGTGTTGGCCAAGTACTGGCACTCCACCACCATCGGGGCCCTTCCTAGGCTCGCTCATATTTCAGATATCATCCCATCTATTATCCACATTTATACGGATGGATCTGGTGGTTCGTCTAGGGGCAGGCCTGCTTGGGCCTTTGTGGTCTTCGTCGAGGACTCTCTTGGGCACATGGCGCTCCTCGGTTTCGAGGGCGACGTCTTGGGCATCGAGATCCCCCCACATCTTACCTCATTGGCTGCCGAATTATTTGGTGCTCAATGGGCCTTGGCTTGGTTCCTGCAGTCCTCGTACGCTAGCCTATGTCATGAATGTGAAGTTCAGGTTCACTGTGATAACTTAGAGGCTCTCCGAGTTGCCAGAGGAGGCGCGCTCAGTGCTTCACTACATTCGGCACGCATCGAGCTTGACAGCATTGCGAAAGTGGTTCAGTATTTCGCACGCAGTGTCTCTTGGTTGCACGTACCAGGCCACTCTGGCCAGCCCTGGAACGAGATGGCGGACACAGTCGCCACGCTCGCTTCACTAGGCAAAGGTGATCTCCCGACGCCTGACGCATCCTGGAGGAGGTGCTTACAATCGCCCCAGGCACTACAATGGCTGTGGCTCAGGTTCGAGCCGCAGAGCGTGCAGATGCAGTACCCACCCAGCGCAGGAGCAGCGATGCCTAGCTTCCTCGAGACGGAGTCCGAGAAAGCATCAGCTCTCACCTCTCTCCTGCGCTTAGACACGAGACAGCCAGTTGCTTGCGACCAGTTTACAGCAGGAGCTCCCTCCTGCCAGCTGTGGGTTGCAGCTGCCAACGTCTTGTCCCTCAGCCCAGGCACGCTTTCCGCATCATCGGCCAAGCCCTCGGGACTCTTTCTCTCGGGACGCATGAAACAGTTGAGTGCCGCATTTAGCAGACATCAATTTTTCCTGATCGGGACTGTCGAGACTAGGTTTCCTCGCTCTGGGGTTTCCACAGTGGCACCATACCATATTATACACTCAGAGGCTGATGAATCTCGTCGGTTTGGCTGTTCTCTATGGATCAATACCTTTATCGAAGTACTTCCCGGTGTATCTTTGCAGGCCAAGCATTGCTGGACTCTTGCGGCGACCCCTACTTACCTACTCGTCGCCCTTCGAGTCGGCTCGTTCGCCCTGGACGTCCTCGTCGCTCACGCTCCTCACAGCAAGAAGCCTGAACATATCATCGAGGACTGGTGGAGGACGGTTTCGCTCGTCATCGCTTCTCATCGCTCGCCAGGGGTTGAACTGGTTTGTTTGTTGGATGCCAACGCTCGTGTCGGTTCGATTGTTTCCAGATACGTGGGTCCTATTGCGGCTGAGACCCAGAACCTACCAGGACAGTATTTTCACAGCTTTTTGGAGGAGAATGGGCTATGGGTCCCTTCGACCTTCCTGGAGTCTGGTCAAACATCGGCTGCGACGTGGTTTCCCCCTGGTTCCCACGGGCTATCTGCGGGTCGCCGTATCGACTACGTCACGTGCTCGTTTGGGATTTCGGTCGCTAAGCAGTTTGTCGTGTCGGACGTGGACCTCACCATATCTATACTAGATCATCTTTTGGTTGCCGCAAGTATTACGGTTCCAGTTGCTTCCGTCGCGCTTCCCACGGCCAACTCGCACAAAATCAAGTGCGACCAGGCTCGCTTTGCGGACGTGGAGGCACAGCAGCTTTTTTCTCAGCTTCTGCAAGAGTGTCCTGCTGTACCGTTCGAAGCCTCGCCTTCTTCTCACTGCCAGGTGCTAACAGATCATCTTCAGAAATGTTTGGAAACAGCTTTCCCTACGCGTACTACCACCTCGGGCAGACGGCCTCGCCAACCCTGGATTTCCCAGAAGACTTTGGAACTGATGGATGCACGTACTTCCCAGCTCCGAAGCTATAGGCAGGTAGGCTTTGCTTGCAGGCAGCTACAGCTAGCTCTCCTATTCCATGTTTGGGCTGAACCCATTCGAGGTCCATGGGCTTGTCTACGCACCAGGCAGTGGAAGTTGTCAGCTCGAACACCAGGAGTATTTGGCACCAGATGGGGCTCACGTGCGAGCCAGCTTTCTTCCCTCTTCAGGCCTACTCTCCTCGAGCTCTTCTTCTACATTGACTGCCTGCGGGACATGTTAGGCGAAAGGATCTCCAATGTGAGGTTCGCAGTGGAATCGAATAAGTACCTCGTTTACTTCAGGCTTTGGGAACGTACTGGTGGGGCTGTCTTGGATCGGCTTTCCAGCCCCGCTACTCTGGAGGACTTGCGTTGGGTTCTTCCTGGTACTTCGGCCCTGTCGGGCTATGCATCATGCTGGAATTACGTCGTTCGTTTGTCTGGCCTTGGGCTGGCCTCTCGTGCTATTGCGCTCGAAATTATGACAAGATATGTGACACACTTCGTAGACCAGGATGCAAAGGCCCACGCAAAACATCTTGCCCAGGAAGTTTCTTCAGCCTGGTCCCGTCAGGACTTCAAAGAGTCCTATGCCAAGCTTCGGGCCATGGGAGCCTGTTCGCGTCGCAAAAAATCAGCTCGGCCTATGCCGATGCTCCTGGGACTCGAGGGCAAGCCGCTTCGCTCGAACATCGAGGTTGCGGATAGGTGGCTTCAGCATTTCAGTGGAGAGGAGGCGGCGCCAGTTATCCCTTTTTCCGACATATCATGGTTCATGAACTCCCTCCCCGCCCTCACCTCTGACGTTACGCATAACGTGGACATTAACATAGAGGACGTCCCGTCCCTCGGTATCACCCAGCAGACGCTGTTTCGTGCCAAGGCTTCCGCTGCAGGCCCCGACGGCATCGCGGGGGCAGTCCTTAAGAAGTTCGCGCTGCAGATCGGTCGCCTTTTTCACCCGCTGTACGTTAAGAGCACGGTCCGTATTTGTGAACCTATCCAATGGAAAGGCGGTTTTTACTGGAGTCTGTTCAAGGCTGGTGTCCCCTCTAATGTCAAAAACTACAGATCCATCTTAGGATCTTCTCAAGTGGGAAAGAGGTTTCGTGCTCTTACTCGTCAAAGTGTGGTGTCCCAGCTTGAGCAGGCAGCAGGGGACCGACAGTTCGGCGGCCTGGCTGGTCGCGGTACTGAGTTTTCAGCGCTCGAACTCCGTGTGTTTCAACAACTGGCAGCAGCGCGTAACCACACGGTGATGATGTTGTTCATTGATGCTGTTCAGGCTTTCTACAAATCAGTTCGGGAACTTATATTTCGTACCTCGGCCAACGACGAAGCCATCGCCAAGCTACTCAAGTTCTGTGGGTTACCTCCAGAGGCCACCAAGGACCTGGCTGATACCATACGTTCGTCCACCCCCCTGCTCGAACAGCACGGCGTTTCGGCTTTTCGCAGGGGCCAGATTTCCGATGCGTACGATCAATCATGGTTTTATGTGCAAGATGGTTCTGGAGTTGCGTTTCCCTGTTTGGGCTCTGGTCCTGGGCAACAACTGGGCGATTTGGTTTTCAATTTTATAATGGCCAGAATCATGGCCACTGCTCAGGAAGGGCTTCTCGCATTAGGTGTTGGGCTACGTCTACCTTGCCACCTAGTCTCGTCTCTCGCGTCCTACACCGAAGGGAATGCGGAGCAGCCGCCAGCAGTTTACACATGCCACTCTATGGACGGCGCCTTCTTTGATGACGCCCTGTTCTGCTTTGAAGGCCGTGCCAGTATTTTATTGCAGCAAGCGCCGTTTATTGCTTCCGTGGTCATTGACGCGTTCTCAGCCTCGGGGCTACAGGTCAACGTCAAACCAGGCAAGTCTGCATTTCTATTTCAGTTTCGCGGCATTTCCTCCAAAGGGGCCAAACGTACTTTGGTTCAGACGCTGCACAACACTATACATACAGTTACACACAGTTTGGGGCCCATGTGTCTTCATCGGGTTCAAGAGTACGTACATCTGGGTACTAAGCATGATATGTCAGCGTCCATGGGGCCAGAGCTGGCTCACCGTCTTTCGGGATGTTCTCAGGCCTGGAAGGTCCTCAGAAGCAAGGTCTTCAAACACAAAACCATCGAGATGCAGACCGCATTGGTTTTCTTGGATTCTCTGGTTTGCTCTGGGAGATTATTCCAATCCAGCACTTGGGGCTTTCTTACCCAGGCACAGCATAATCAATTACAGGACGGTCTTCTCCGTTATTATCGCGCTATTGCCAGACTTCCCAGAGTGGATGACACAGCCATGCCATCCAAGTATGTTCTTGCACGAGTGGGGCGCCCACCGCTCGAAGCATTGCTGTCTGCCCACAGGCTTCGCCTTTTTGGCCGCCTCCTGCTATCGGGCCCACCCCACATTATGGCTTTAGTCCACGCCGCTATGGTTGAGACTTCCAGGACCTGGGGACATATGATTTTGGGTGATCTTGGATGGTTGCGTAAGTACACCCGAAGGTTCCAGGACTTCCCCGACCCTCTCGAGAACCTACAGTCTTGGGAAATGGAGGCCAAGAAGTCAGCTGTGGGATGGAAGCAGACAATTAGGCAGGCGCTGGCTGCTCACGTTCGGCACATCCAGAGAGACACTCTTGCTCGGGCTGCCGAAGACCAGATATTCCAGATACTCGATTCGGCAGGGGTCCCACCGGCATGGGACGACCCAAGGCATCGCCTACGACAGCAGGAGAGAGAGGACGCCAATGTGTTCACGTGTATGTGGTGCTCGCGTTCTTTTTCTCGCATTCGAGGGCTTCGTACGCACATTCAGCGCGTCCATCATTCACGCGTATCGTTCATTCGCAGCTGTCAGGGTTCGTCTCTCTCCTGCTGTACATGCTTCCAGTCTTTTGCACATCGGTCAGCTCTCACGGCGCATCTGGCATTCGACTCGTTACCATGTGCGATTGGCCTCATCGTGTCTGCTCCGCAGTGCACGGTGGCAGAAGCCGCCGCACTTCAGCAGCAGGAGGACGAACGAATGCGAAGTCAACGAGCTTGTGGTCAAGGAAGGTGGCGTATCGAGGTTCCCGCTACACGACTCCCCGCCTTCTCCCGTGACCCAGAAGTTGTGGCCCTCACCTCGCATCTTTCGCACCAAGACGCCCTACAGTTGCTCCTGGAAGCTGACCCCGCCATCCCTGATGACCTCATACAGCAGTATACTACTATTTGCTCGGATGTCCCCTCGGTGATCCCCACGGTCCCTGAGACCCCTTTCTATGTCTATAACCCTGGTGAATTTCCTGAGTTTCTGGCTTCTGCTGTCCCCATTCGCATTCGTCGACCTACGGCGTATGTTCTACATTTATACTGTGGGCAACGTCGCAGAGGCGACGTCCAGTGGCAGCTCGAGCATGAGACGTTTACGTCCGACCTGCACTTAGTGATTCTCAGTGTTGACATTGCCATTGACGCCGACAGGGGGGACCTGACGAAGGAGGCTACGATTCTCGAATGGGTTGAGCACATACGTTGTCACAGGGTCATCAACACGGGGGGGGGGCCTCCTTGTGAAACTTGGTCGGCTGCCCGGTGGCACGAAGGAGGCCCCCCCCCTCTTAGGTCTACTCAGTTTATGTGGGGACTACCATGGGTATCTCAGCGTCAGTCCGAGCAGCTTCGTATTGGGTCTCAGCTATTGCATGCAATGGTCTGGCTCTTGGCGGAGCATCTGAGGGCTGGCACGGGGGGTTGGATGGAGCATCCCGCCAACCCCACGTGGGCCCCTAGGGCCCCGTCCGCGTTTCGTTGGCGGCCTCTTGAGGCCCTGGCCGCGGCCCCAAGCGCCGCGGTCACATCTTTCGATCAATGTGAGCACCAAGGTCCCGAGGTGGACCTTGGGCAAATTGGCCGTGCCCCCACTACCATTCTTTCGGTTCGAATGCCCACTATGGATAGGCTCCTTAGGGCCACTCCAGGAGGCGGTAGGTGTTCCCACCCGAGAGGCTCCCATCAGACCCTATTAGGGAAAAGGGCCTCGGGTTCTTTTTACACGGCTTCTAAGAAGACTTACCCGCCTCAGATGTGCCAGGCGATCGCCTCGGCCATCGTGGATAGTGCCAGGTCTCTCCTTTCCTCGGCTGAGTCCTCCACCCCGCCCAGTGAAGACCTGGACTATCCCGAGGACGATGATGATATCCGTGAATCGCTTGCTGTTTTCTATGCCACGTTTCAGGTTTCGTGCCCACCGCAGGAGAACCCTGCTCCTGACTTTGCTGGTTTCTCGCACAAGGATGCTTGTAGAGTTGACCCACGTGGGTTTGTCTACCCAGCGGGGGGCGCGGTGCGAGTGGGGACTGCCCGGCGGTGCGCCGTTAGTGACCCTCGCACCGTTGCTCCCCGGCCCCGCGCACGGCGCGGAGAGTTCAACTCTGCCTCTGGCTGGATGGAACAAAATTGTAGAGTTGACCCAGAATTTCACAGGTTCGTAGATTCGGACGATGAAGTGGAAGGAGCTGAGGACAGATCTCAGCAGGATTTCACGCCTCCCCCGCATGGCGAGGAGGAGGCTGAGGCAGAGCAGCAGTACGCAGATCTTTTGCATGGCTCCCCAGAGGAGCAAGCTGCTGAGTGGCTCCTTCTCCCTCCCTCCCCCCCCCCGTCGCCTTCGCCTCCTCCTCCCGCCCCTCTCGAGCTCACCACCCAGCAGCGTGACCGCATTGCGGCCCACCGAGCTCTCGCCAAGGAGAGACGGGCGGCTCGTCGCAGAATCCAGGTGCCCACCCCATCGTGCTTCGCCCCGGCCTCCCCCCCAAACGCGGAGGGTAGGCGACAGGAGGCGAGGGAGGCCGCACGTTCGGCCTTACGCAACTGGCTCATCAGCAACTAGTTGGATGGGTTGGCACCTCTTTCTTTTCTTTTTCTTTGTTGTTGTGCATTGCTCATTGCATGTGTAGCAGCAGAGGTATGGAGCACGGATGTCCCAAGCCCCGCGTTGCATCAACCTCCTTTCCCCCCAGCCCTCCCTCAGCCCTCCGCATGTCCATTTCGGCACACCCCTCACACGTTTCGTGGCCCCATATGGGGGTTCCACATGACCCGACTGCGTGGTCCACGCCATGTCGGCGCACCCCTCAGACGTTTCGTGGCCTCACAGGCGGCTCCACCGAACCCCTCGCACGTTTCGTGGCTCCATAGGGAACTCCACCGCAGGCCCCAGTGCCAGGGCCAGGGCCCGCATGCCTGGTCCACACCAGTTCGGCACATCCTTCACACGTGTCGTGGCCCCGTAGGGGGCTCAACCTAAGGCCCCCGTGCCAGGACCCGCATGCCTGGTCCCCGCTTTTTCGGCGCGCCCCTCACACGTAGCCCCATATGGAGCTCCACCTACGGCTCCAGTGCCTGGGCCCGCGTGCCTGGTCCGACCATTTCGGCACACCCCTCACACGCTTCGTGGCCCCATACGGGGGCTCCACCTAGGGCCCGCGCACCCTTTCACGTTTCGTGGCGCCATAGGGAGCTCCGCCTGCATGCCTGGTCCACGCCATTTGGGCGCACTCCTCACACGTTTCGTCCACTTGCGGTGCCAGTGCCAGGGCCTGCATGCCTGCTCCACTCTATTTGAGCGCATCCCTCACACGTTTCGTGGCCCCCTAAGGTTCCAGCGCCAGGGCCCGCATGCCAGGTCCACACAATTTCGGCACAGCCCTCACACTTTTCGTGATCCCATTTAGGAGGCTTCACCGAAGACTGTACTCACAGCTACGGTGCTCACCGATGCAGAAGACTGGGTCTTCTTTCGCCAAGCAAATTTTTGAAACGAAAGCAAGACACACTGAACATATGAAAGTGATCCTCGTTCAGGTAATGCAGCATGTCGATCACGGTCTGAGTGTGCATCACCACGGGGGTGATCGAGGCGGACCACTTTCGGCCCCATGGGACGTCGACGCCGAGGACGGCGGCCGAGGCGTAATACCACTTCTTCGCGTCCGCGTTCAGGTTGTCGAAGTCCGTGTCGGCGAAGACTTTGCCCTGGTAGCAGGGCGTCAAGAACGTGTCTGGCTTCATGTCGCGGATGAATGCGTTCTTGGCGTCGAACACCACGTAGTAGTCTTCCTCTCGGATCAGAAAAATGAGCACACATTAACTCTTGGAGCTCCGAGCGGATTTCCTGAATCGGCGCTGGTCTCCTCTCCCTGGCTCGCGGAGCGCGTCAGGGGCGGCGCCGGAGGCGCTGCCAAGGGGGGCCCAACGCCGATCCAAGAAATCCGTGCGGAACTCCGAAAGTTTATGTCCATGCCGTCTTTCGTTCCTCGAGCCTGGACCAAGCCTGATGCCTTCAGCTTCACAATCTGCTGCACGTGCCAGCCTGCCATGCCGCTCCCGAACATCCAGCTCATGTCGTGGAACCGCACGGTGTGCGACGCCGCGGCGGCGTTGCGGATGTAGTCGATGTCCCCCATGAACTCGTTAGGGGAGTGCTTCGAGAGCCAGATGAGGTGTACCGTGCCGATCAACTGGTTAGGGTCATGCTTCGTCAGCGACGAGGCCAGGAGACGCATCTTGCAGAGGTCGCGCTCGTAGAAAAGGATCACGAGCGCGGGCGCAGTCGGCTCCGGCATGGCGCAGCTCGGGCAAACCCCCGCGCAGATGGGGTTCATCACCGTGCCGTCTTCCCTGTGAACCACCCCAGTGCCCTGGTTGCCAGGGTTCGCACCTTCCAGGCAATGCCAAGGGGAGTCACCACCTGTTCCAGGAGAGGGACCTCCCTGAGCCGCCCAGAAGCCTCCAGGACGCCCAGAGACGCCGAACAACGCCCAAAACCTAATATGTCCTCGACCCCCCTTCCTCCTCCTCGACCCTCGATTTCTAGGAGGTGGTGACCTCCCCAACGGTGACCCTCTTTGGCACTGCCCGAGCCTAGGCGGAAGTGGGTCTGATTCTCCACGTAGCACCCCTCTGGGACCCCCGCGTCCTCGACGATCTCGACATCGACGTCGGCCTCCGCCTCCACCAAGCCGATGCTGCTCGCGGCGGCCTCGCACTCCTTCCTGCCAGAGATGGGTAGTAGCCCGCTGTCCTCGCATGAGCGCGTGAAGAGAACTGCTTGAGTGACTCTGGTGCTGTTGGAAGGCACCACCTCGTCGGAGACCCTCTTGGCCTCCTCTAGGGGAAAAAGATAACCACCGTGGATCGACTTGAGAGCGACCGGCTGGGGCGTCTTGTGGTCCAATTTGGACAACTTCGAACTACCATCAGTCAAATTTCCGGTCTTCTTCACTGGCAGGTCCAACACACTGAAGAAAGTCTTGCTGTCGATGGTCTCGATGCGGAAGTGCTCCGACTCCCCAGCTTCCATCGCTTCTGCGACGACCTTGCCGTCTGACCGAGCTCCCAAGAACGTGCCCTTGCACGTCTGCAATGCCATGCCGTCGTCACCGCTGTCAACCAATTTGAACCCCTCGCAATTGCCCACGTCCTTCTCCTGAACGTTGACCGTGACCTCCCCCTCTACGCCTACCCCGACATAGGTGCCCAAGTACGACTGCAGCGTCACCGTGTTGCCGAGCCAGTCGGAGCCCAGTAGTAATCCTCGGCCCTCTAACTGCTTCGCGCGCAGGATGAAGGTGGCCCAACTGCCGACCGCTTCCCTGTCGCTCCGGAGCACCACCTTCGCGGCTGCGCCTAGGCGGACAGCCGTCAGGAACTTGCCCCATGTGGTCTGGAGGGTGATGCTGTTGTCGTCCGCGTTCTCATCGATCTGGAACGACTCCTGCTCACTGGATTCCTTCGCGCTGGCCGTGACCATCCCGTCCTGGGTGGGCGCGGTTCTCTTACTGCCCCATCAAGTTTCGCCTTCAGAATTTCAATGTGTTACTTGTTTGTGGAAACCTGGTGGGTGCCAGACGCGGTCGTCGCCAGGTTCCCCAGGATTCTCGGGTCTAGTTTCTTTACACGTGGGTTCCTGGGGTTCCTTGGTCCTGTTTCCTTGCAGCGCCTTGCCCGGTGTTCTGCGTTCCCTAGGTTCCTTGGTCTTGCTTCCTGGGTTCCTTGGCCTTGGTTCCTTGGCTCTGGTTCCTTGGTCTTGTTTTCTTGCTGCTCGCCACGTAATGCCAAACAATGCTAAGTCACGCCGCGCAGTGCTAAGCAACGCCAAGCAATGCCAAGCAATTCCAAACCGCGCCAAGTCATGCCACGTGATGCTAGGCAATGCCAAGCAGTGCCGCACAATGCCAAGCAAGCCAAACAACGCCAAACACTGCGAAGCGATACCGAACCATGCCAAGCAGTGCGCCCATGCAGTTGGAAGCTTCTCCATCCAAACCTTGCCAACCAAATGTTTGTTCCTTGTTCTCACTTGTTTGTGAAGATCCAATGGGTGCGCCACCCGGCTGGGCGCCTGTGTTCACCGGTCTGATGTTCCGTACACGGGTGTTGCCCAGTGTTCCCCAGTCGTGTTTCCTTGCAAGGCCTTGCCCAGGTTCCTTAGTCTTGGTTCCTTGGCCTTGGTTCCTGGGTCCTCTCCCTTTGGTTTTGGATTCCTTGGTTCCTTGGTCCCTTGATCTTGGCTCCCTGGTTCCCTGGGCTTGGTTCCTTGGTCTTCGTTCATTGGTTCCTTGGTCTTGGTTGCTTGGTTCCTTGGCTCCTTAGTTCTTTGGTCTTGGTTCATTGGTGCCTTGGTTTTGGTTCCTTGGTTTCTGGGTCCTTCGGTCTTAGGCGCCACGCAAAACCAAGCAACGCCTCCAAGCAATGCCAAACAATACCAAACCATGGTTTACACTGCAGTGCTGTGTATGGCTCAGAACTGCTTTGAAGTGCTTTGGAGTACAGAAGGTTCATAATTTGGGTGTTGCCGGGTTCAACGTCAGAGTGAGGGGGCCGAAAGGTCATTCACTGTCCCTTGGTGCGTGGCTGAAGTGGGCTTCCGCGGAGCGGATTGTGGTTGAATTCTCGTTTTTAAGAATAGGTATTGATCCCTCCCTCCTGGTAACAATATTATTCCCATCCCTCCTGCGTTGGGTTCTCGTTTTGAATAAAGCACTGCGGTCTCCGAGTCTCCTTCCTCCTGCCTGCCTCCCTTCTCCTCTCCTCTCCTGTGCGCCTGGTGGCTTGCCTGTGGGCCTGCGAAGTGTGAGGCTGGCATGCCTTGTGAGGTGCGATCTGCGAAACTGTCGCCACTTTCGAGGGCTGTAAGGGGGACCAGCATAGTGGGTTACTCGCCGCAGATTCAGATTAGACCTCGCCATCCCTGGGGGACTGCGATCTGTGAAATTGTCGCCACCTTCGAGGGCTGCTGGGGGGGCAAGCGTAATGGGTACTCGCCGCAGATTCAGATTAGACCTCGCCATCCCTGGGGGCTGCGATCTGTGAAGTTGTCGCTACTTTCGAAGGCTGCTGGGAGGGCCAGCATAGTGGGTACTCGCCGCAGACTCAGACTCGTCCTCGCCATCCCTGCGGGGCTGCGATCTTTGAAACTTTTCGAGGGCTGCTAGGGGGCCAGCAAAGTGGGCACTCGCCGCAGATTCAGATTAGACCTCGCCATTCCTGGGGGGCTGCGATCTGTGAAACCGTCGCCACTTTCGAGGGCTGTTGGGGGGCATACACCTCACACGGTTCGTGGCTTAATGGGGAGCTCCACCGAAGGCTCCAGTGGCAGCGGTTGCATGCGTGTCGCCACCAATTCGGCATACAACTCACACAGTTCGTTGTCTAATAAGGAGTTCCACCGAAGGCTCCAGTGGCAGCGGTTGCATGCGTCAGCGCCGCCCATTTCGGCACACCCCTCACACGGTTCGTGGCCCCACAGGTAGCTCCACCGAAGGCCTCAATGGCAGGGTCCGCATGCGACACCGCCACCCACTTCGGCACACCCCTCACACGGTTCGTGGCCCCATAGGGAGCTCCACCGAAGGCCCCAGTGCACCGCTCACACGCTTCGCGGCCCCATAGGGAGCTGCACCGAAGGCTCCAGTCGCTGCGTCCACATGCCACCCAATTGCTATTTCGGCACACCCCTCACACATTACGTTGCCAAGAGGCGCCCAGGCAGGCGCCGCGAAGCGCAAACTCAGCCCCAAGCATGGCGATGTTGTGATTTTTCAGAACGCGGTCCCAGGAAGTACCCTTTCCCGGGCCTGGAAGATCCGAGGCGGGGCATTTTCTAGCATTCGGTGCAGGCTGGGGCGACCCGGGGACCTAGGTCACCCTCGCGGGCGCGACGATGACCGTGCTTCGCGCCCTGGGCTGGGCGTGCTCTTCTCTCCATGGGGCATCGCGAGGAAACGAAAATGCCCGCGCATCGCGGGGCACCTGGAAGATTCGAGGCGAGGTACTGTCTAGCATTCGGTGCAGGCTGGTGCGACTTGGGGACCTCGGTCACCCTCGGGGGCGCGACGACGATCGTGCTTCGCGCGTCGCGGCCTGGGCTGGACGTGCTCTTCTCCCGGGGGCGTAGGGGTGAGCTTCGAATTCATCGAGTCTGATTGGCATCTTGTGTTCGCCGTTCGGCGTCTGAGTTCTGGGGCGACGACGGCGCACGCGAGCATGCTGTGCAAGTGCACTCAAACATCTTCGACTTTGTGTTTTTTTTGGGTCCTTGACCGTGCCCCCTGGGGCTCTCGACCTCTTCCCTGCGATCGTTTTTTTCGGCCTGGGTCGTTGGCTGATGGGCCCATGGCCCGAAAACGCTGTCTTCGCAAAATCACTGCGCCTCGGAGGTCCAGGAGCTCACTCGGCAGTGTTTCTTTGGAGGTGCGCCCGAGGGGTGGGGCGAGGCGGCGGCCTTCCAAGAAGGCACGGGACTGGCTTCTTGAGAACCCTCCCGCCCTCTACGCAGCCCTCTTAGACACATCCGAGAGCTTCTGCGAAGCCCCCCGCCTCCTCAGAAGGCCCCCCGTTTCCGACATCTTCCGTTGCGTGAGCCCCCAGGTTCACCGCGTGGACCTCCCGTCGTGGCGGCGTTGTGGCTCGGCGGCGTTGTGGCTCGAGCCTCCCTCGAGCGGGGCCCTCTCGGGCCGTGCAGGGCGGCTCCAACCAAGCTGCCCGCGGCAAAGCCCGCCACGCGCTTGTGCAACAGTGCAGCAGGAAGGAGGCTGAGGGTAGGAACAGCCCAGGCAACACATGCACATTCTAGCACGCCAGCTCCGTGCAGGCACGGTGGCGGATGTTTGCAGCCGCTTACAGTACCCGTGGCGATGGCGGATGTGCCAACGATAAGCTGAACAATATCCTCGCCGCTGTGCTCCGCCATAAGCACGCCGAGTCTGGGTTTTTTTCGGGGCGCGGACGGGTGGGTGGACTTGATACAGCAGCATGCGTTCAGGTCTTGGACCTGGTCTGACGTAGAGCAGGTGGCGGCCGCGAGCGCGTCGTGGAAACACGGGCGCCGCTTCGAGCTGGACGAGACGCAAGCGTGGGAACCGAAAACCACATCCAGAAGCGAACGCGGGCTCCGCCCCCACCAAGGACCCCCCCTTCCTCCACTTCCGACCTGGTGATCCAGGGAGTCCGTCCGGGCTGACGACGGGGATCAACTTTCAAGCTCTGGGGGTTTTAAGTCCCGGATCGCCAGGCGACCGAGCGCGAGGGCGAGACTTGCATATGATATTTAAACTCACCATTTGAAATCTGCACTTTTTCTCACCGGAATTGTATCAGACATTTCACATCCACATGTTCACCCTCATTGCTGCCGCAATTGCGAAAACATGCCGCCCGTCAACATTGTCGACGCCCGGGTGCCAGGCCCTCCTTCGGCGACGGTGGACTTGCCGCGCCTCGTCAGGGATGGGTTCGGTCTGGTGCCGTGCGCGGTGAACGTGAAGATGGGATTTCGCTGGTGGTGCGGATTTCGGGCCGTCTCCGCCGCGCAGCTGCGCCTCCTCTTCTTCAGCCCGGAAGCAATGCGACGCCGCGGGCATAGGGACATCCAGAGGATCACCTGTCGGGTTCGCAAATACGCGGGCCGCGGCTTCACTTTCCTGCGCTCGTCCGCTGAGATTCTCCGCTGGCTCGCGAAGATGGAGAAGTGCGCCAATGACTCAGCAGTAAAATTTTAGCTTGCGCTCAGCGGCAGCGTCTGGTACGACCAGCGCGCGTCGCGGGGGCTCCTTCGGGCCGACTGGCGCGCGTCGCGGGGAGTCCACGCTGCGCTCCGCGCGGCACCTCGCTCGTCCGGCGACGCTCTGTCCAACTGCCAATGCCTGTCCCGCTGTCGGCCAGCCAACTAGGTAGCTCTCTTTGCTCCGCGCAACGGACGACCCGCGCGCGTCACCTGAACCCCAGGGCGGCAGTGCGCCACGGAAACAAGGGGAGAGGATAATGGCACGGGAAGAAAATTGAGAAAAACGGTCGCGCACGGGTCTCAAGCAAAAGCAATAACCAAAAATGCCACGCGCAACGTAAAGAGAGAGAGAGAGAGAGAAAGAGAGAGAAATGGCAAACAAACTAATAAGAACATGAAGCAACAAAAACAAACGTGCAACGCACAATGCAAACAAAGACAGCCGCTAATAAACTGGAGGGAAACTTAAGGCAAGACGGCCGCGCACGGGGCTTGGGCCACCGCGGGCCCCCCTCCTCCGTCTCATATCCTTCGCGGTACTCGCAGCTGCATATGGTTGGGTCTTTCGTCAGGCTAATTCAATTGAAGTGCTTCCCCCGGGGCTCGCACTCATTTTTGTTGTTTATTTAACTGTAAGTAACAACTTATTATTATTATTATTATTATTAGTATTATATAAACAGAACAAGGCAAATCACTAAGGTCAAACTGCGTTGTTGGTCGCCGGATTACAACAACAACGGCTCACGCGTAAGACCTCCTCACAAT